GATGGGGAATGCTCTGATAGTCAGAAAATCCAAGAAATCTTTGAAGGCTGGAACACTGAAAACTATTTCTTGACATTACGCATTTCTAAGAAGATTGGAATATTGAGCCTGATCCACTGGATGTCTGGTTAAGCGAGAAGGGCTAGATCATGATAAACATGAAGGGTCACTGATCAGATCAATCACACGAATATACCAGAATCCTATTTGAAAAGATAAGTGATAAGGGCATGTGGTAGCAGGAACACTAGCAACTCTGTAACAATTCCTATCACCTAAACCACACAACAGAGTTAACATCTACTGGGAAATATTGGGGCTGTCACCTCACTGGTCTAAGTGCAAAGATGGCCTGATTTTCTGAAAGTTGAGGAAATAAGCTATTTGTTCAACATCTGTTTTCCCTCTGAATGTTTGCTGTATTCAGACATGCTCATCACCCTGGATGATGAGACTTTGAGAGCTGGTTTGACAGCTACTACTTAACACCTGCCGACAAGTTCCTTCTTAAAGCCTAGTATGGTAGGTCATGCCTGTAATCCTACCTACTCAGGAGGCAAAGATCAAGAGGATCATAGTGTGAAGTCAGCAGGGACAAACAGTTCATGAGACCCTACAGGAAAATACCTAACACAAAAAGTCTTGTGGGAGTGCCCCTGCCTTGGCCAGTTCACCTGATTTGGCCTGCCCTACTTGGCCACTGCAGCTGGCTCCCAGCAAGAAGTCAACCCCAGAGGGCTCTGGCTGTCCAGGCCTCACCTGGCACTTATACCCTTCAGCTCTTGTTTTTGAGATCAGAGACTTGCTCTCTGCCTCAGGGAGAAAAGGTGATCTCTGATTGGGACCTCTGGGGAGCAAGAGTTGAACTTGGTCTTGTTTTCACCCGGCAGCAAAACACTTACTGATTCTTGGATGGAGGATCTACACCTGGACAATCTCTGAAGCCTTCCCAGCATCCTGCCTGTGGTGTACTACACAGTGCAGTTCATGTTCACAGCAAGAGCAGAGTCCACACATGAAACTCCATGAAGAATGCCAGAATGGAAAGATGCTGTGTGCCAGCGTCCTCATTCTACCATGTGTTCCATTCTTTCGAACTCTCAGAGGTAATGATATTAAAAGAAATTAATGCATAGGAGTTCCTTTTCTATTTTAAATGACTACACATACAAGTTCTGCAAAATACAAAGTTCTGTGTTCTTGAAGATGCACGAGTCTGTTTAATATGGATCTTGAAAAAAGAACACATGCAAGTGAATATGGGATGTTGTTTAGTGGCGGAAAAGTAAAATTTGCCAGTTTTTTCACTTATTTTCCACTAGTTTCATACTAACCTTGATGGTTTTTAGGGGACTGACTCATAATCCAATTATGAGAAACAAGAAGTCCTGCTCTTACAGATACCTTATAAATAGCTATGACTTTGTGACTGATACCCTGTCTCTTACAGCTCAGAGGGAGCTCCCCACCCATACTTGATGAAGCACAAGAAGTGTCAAGGTCAAGATGTCCTCCTTTTCCTGTTTGTAAAGACTCTTCCTGAGAACTATCAGTGCTTTCTGCAATTAGAAGAATTGTGGGGCAACTAGAAATGTGTTCAGCCTTAACAATGCCCACATCAAAACTCTGGTTGCCTTAGGTAGTCCTCCTTGACTCGAGGGAGGATTGCAAAGAAAACTGGTTTGGGAAGACCAAGTGTACAACAAACTTTACCAATTCTTTCTACAATCTTCCTCTTAAAGGACTTCTGCAGTTCATTGGGGAATCTCCTTTTGTCCACAGGGCAAATTCTTGACTGCTGATGGCACATTTATTCACATGCCCAATTTTATTGAATCCCATCATGGCTTAGAACAAACAGGTGTTCAAGACTTTTGGAATAGTCATATTCATTGTCCATCCCCTCCCATTAGGGTTAAAAGCATCAAATACTATGTTTGTTAGGAAATGAACCATTGGCTAACTTACACTGACTATGGGGATGACACTGCCTATGTCATCTCCAGTGACATGGCTGACAAAGGTTGTGATGTGTCACAGGCACTGAATTCTAGTCTTTACATAGATGATGAGTCCACGGGCCTCTGTGCCAAACAATGTGAAATGGGAATAGTATCACTGTACCATGTGTTTTCCTCTGATTAAGGTAAAGCTTTTTATCATCCCTGGATCTACAAAACAATGATGACATCTGGACAAGTGCAATATCTTCTGCACCTTTTGAAGAATGCTATAGATCAGAAGGAAAAAAACACTTTTTAAGAGTTTTGGGGTTTTGGTACTTTTTTTTTTTTTTTTTGGTAATCATAAGTTGTGCCTAGATCTATTAATAGGCTACAGTTATTGTACAAAACTGGTCAAATGTGGCCAAGATACAAACAAAACCCTCTTGCTACAGAAAAACTTAGGTGATGTCTGTTTCTAGGGAAATTTTCTAATCTTGCAAGGATAAAATAGTGACTTAGGCAAAAACAGTTAAAGTGATTATAAAACCACGGCTCCACAGGCAGCAGTTAGAGAAAACTCAGATGTCTCATTTATAAGATGATGTACCAAACACACAAAAGAAAACCAACAAAGATTTCTCAGTGCATATCTATGCATTAAGACATCTGTTATTTCATTAGGTAGATTTTCTTTCTTTCTTTTATTTTTATTGGCAGCACTGGGTCTTGAACTCATGGCCTCATGCCATGTAGCAAAAATGCTCAATTGCAGAGGTAATCATTAAAACACAGGATATACTCATACAGAAATGTTCTGTGGCTCTACCTGGGCAAAAGGAGATGAATTAGATCTTTGCCAGAGCTCTCAAAACACATATAAATACATCTAAAAATGTCAGGCAGAATGACTCAGGATCTAAGAGTGCATTCATATCTGCTATTTCCACATAGGACTAGAATTACAGCTTCTCTAGGTTTTAGATAGTATTATGATTCTGTCTCAATGCATAAACTCATGTCATCTATCCTTGCCATTTTGATTTTAAAAATATTTATATGCTAACCAAAATGTACTTAATCATAATTGAGAACATGATGCTTTGAAAAATGTATAGATTACAGAGGGGTGAAATTAGGGTTATTAACTGGATGCACTGCTTTTCATACCTATAATTATTTCATTGTAATTAGAATACCTACATTGTAGCTGGGCAACAGTGGCCCACACCTGTCATACTAGCTTCTCAGGAGGCAGAGATCAGGAGGATCATGGTTCAAAGCAGCTCAGGCACATATTCTGTATTGTTCATTAATAGCTTATAAACAGTGTTGGGAGATGGGGACTTGTTTTTTCTTTTTTGGCAACACTAGGTTTGAACTCAGGGCCTCAGGATTGCTAGACAGCTATTCTTACCACCTGAATTACTCCAACAGCCCTTGTGTTGGTTGTTTTTCAGAGAATGTCTCTAACTATTTACATGGACTGGCTTCAACAGCGATTCCCTGATCTCTGAGTATTCTGATCTCTTCTGAGTACTTAGGTTTTACAGGATGAGGCACTGGCACCAAGCTTGCAAGTGATATTTTGAATACTTTGACAAGTATTTATTTTATTACTCATGTCTTTAAAGTGTAAAAAGAGTTGGTTCTTTTTTTCTAATCAACTGTATCACTGTTGTTTAATTGGTGCATTTAAAATTCACATCTAGAGATAACTGATAGAGTTAATAAGTGGTATATTATAACTGTTTTTTTTTTTTTTTTTGAGGCACTGGGGTTTGAGCTGAGGGCTTCATGCTTGCTAAGCAGGTGTCTGCCATTTGAACCATGTTTCCAACCCTTCTAATGTTTTTTATTGAAATAATTAGTGGCTGAAATTTACTTGAGAACCTGATAGTGGTTTTGGAGGTGAAACTCCAAATACTTTTTTTTTTTTCTGGTGTGTAAACTCCAGGCATCCAGATGGCAAAACAGGCTAGAGTCACACCTCCACTGCATTAGGCTCTGGTTATATTGGAGATGGAGTCTGGCAAACAACTTGCTGGGGCTGGCTTCTAACCTCTGCTTTCTAGATCCCAGCCTGCCGAGTACTTAGTAGTACAGGGGTGAGCCGGTGGTGCCTGGTAACTAATGCTTTTAAATTGTGTGTATTGCAGGAATTTTTATTCTACCTTGTGGATTGTATTTTAACTGCAGTAATTTTAGTGCATTTTATTTCTCCATGCAGTTCTGATCTTTAATTTTTTCCAAAGGAAGAAATTTTTCTTACATCTGTAATTGATTGGAGAGTGGCTTCTCAAATTGATTTAAATTTTATCTTTCCCTTACCACCTTGTAATTTTTCTAAGGATCAGGAGATAGATGAGAACACAATGTATGTGCCCATGTAATAACTACTTCATCCCTGCCTTGTCTGTTCTTGTAATTTGTGGGGCTGGTGGCTCGTGCATGTAATCTCTAGCAGTAGGTGGGCAAACTACCACCCACTTGAGGAACTGAATTCAAACCCAGTGCCATCAAAAAAAATTCTCCACTTCCCAAAACATTCCACAAACTAAAAATGAACAATACAGAGAATGTGCTTGAGAAGCTGAATCTGCTCTTACTAGGGAACAATGAATCACTCAAAATGGTTTTAAAAACAAGTTTGTGTTGGTCTTCTGGGTCTTTCCTTGATTGTGAAGACATTGAGGAAGCTGCATGGCTACTTTCCAAATGCTCCATCTCTCTTTCCAGTGAAAGAGATTTGAAGATTATGGTGGTGTGGAAAAGAACAAAAGAAAGAATATGATGAACTTCAATCACTGACCAGGACTGGGCAGTCATGAATAGTTAAGCCAAAATTATACCTGTGAGAATTTTTTGAGAGGGACTAGAATTTAAACTGAGGACCTCAGATTTCTTAGGCAGGCACTCTATCCTCTACAAGTTGAGAAACTCTGCCAGCATTTTTTGTAAGGAATTTTCAAGACTATATCACATACAAATTATAAATATATTTTAATTAATGATTTCAATACACAACAAACTAGTATGTGCCATTTCTGTTCCGATGTCATTTTTGAAATTAAAAATATCACTGTGTTTTTTGGAGGGTGGGGCAGCACTGGGGCTTGAACTCAGGGCCTTCACACTTGTCTGGCTGGTGCTGTTGCCACATGATTCACTCTGCCAGCCTTCAGAAATTATATTATACAAGCTCAAAAAGTGAGTTCTAACCCCAGAAACAGATTTATTAGCTGTCCCATGTCTGGCAAGGAACTAGTACTAATTCAATCACATGCATGACAAACTTGTGCAGCTAAGTGACTGTGCCCATGCAAGGGATTGACTCTCCTTATTTTCTTTCTACGTTATATGACTGTGACTTGGTTCATGTCTTTCAAGGACACTCAACAGAAGTAGGCTTTCCCACATTGGTAACATACACAGGTTTTGCCGGAGGGTGAGTTTCTCTAGGTCTTCAAAGATCACTGGAAAATAAAAGGGTTCCATGTATTGTTTACATTCATAAGGATTCACTCCAGTGTGAATTCATTCATGTGTTTTGAAGTACCTGGATGAAGTAAAGGCTTTTCCACATTGCTTACATGCAAAGGTCTTCTCTCCATTGTGAATTCCTTCATGTGTTCGGGGTTACTGATAAAAGGTTTTCCACATTAGTTACAAATATAGGGTTTCTCACCACTGTGTGCTTTTTCATGTTTTCCAAGGGCTTTGAACCAATAGGATGCTTTCCCACATTGTTTACATGCAAAAGTCTGCTCTCAATGTGAATTCCTTCATGTAATTTCAGGTACCTAGAAATAGTAAAAGCTTTTCCCTGTTACTTGCATACATAGGTTTTCTCACTACAATGAATTTTTTCATGTGATCTAAGGCCACCAGACCAATAGAAGGCTTTCCCACATTGTTTACATGCATAAGGTTTTGCTCCTGTGTGAATTCCTTCATGTTTTTTGAGGTAATTGGATAATGTAAAGGCTTTTCCACACCGCTTACATGCAAAATTCTTCTCTCCAGTGTGAATTCGCCCATGTCTTTTGAGGTAACTGGAACAAATAAAACCTTTTCCACATTGTGTACATATATAGGGTTTCTCACCACAGTGACTTCCTTCATGTAGTCCAAAGTCAATGGACCAACAGGATTTCCCACATTTTTGACATGCACAGGGTTTTGCTCCAGTGTGAATTCTTTCATGTGCTTTGAGGGAATGGTATCTACTAAAAGCTTTTCCACATTGCTCACATGCAAATGGCTTCTCTCCAGTGTGAGTTCTTTCGTGTGTTTTGAGGTGACTGGAACGACTAAAAGCTTTTCCACACTGCTCACATACATAGGGTTTTTCACCACTGTGAGTTTTTATGTGTCTTCGAAGTTCACTGGACAAATAGAAGGCTCTCGCACATTGTTGACATGCATAAGGTTTTGCTCCAGTGTGAATTCGTTCATGTCTTCTGAGGTTATTGGATGACCTAAAGGTTTTTCCACATTGCTTACATGCAAAAGGCTTCTCTCCAGTGTGAATTCTTTCATGTGTTTTCAGGGAACCGGAATGACTAAAAGCTTTTCCACACTGCTCACATACATTGGGTTTTTCACCACTGTGAATTTTTATGTGTCTTTGAAGTTCACTGGAACAATAGAAGGCTTTCCCACATTGTTTACAAGCATAATGTTTTCCTCCAATGTGAAGTCGTTCATGTTTTTTGAGGTTCATCCAGGTGGATGAACTAAAGACTTTTTCACATTGCTCACATACATAGAGTTTCTCTGTAATGGAAGTTCTTTCATGTTTTTCAACAGTACAAAAATGTGACATGGGTTTACCACATTGCTTGCAAACATATGGTTTTTCTCCACCAGCAGTCAATTCATGTTTGCAAATGCCACTAAAATGAAAGGAGACTTTTCCACATTGTGTACATGGAAATGATGTCTCTCCAGGATGAATTCTTTCATGCCATTTAAGAAATGTGGAAACAGGAAAGGTTTTCCCAGAATATTTCCTTTTAGGTGGCTTTTTAAAATATTCTACATACTCATGTGACTCAGACCCACTCTGAGTTCTGACAGACAGATGCAGGGATGGATGCCCAATGAAGACTTCTGTACACACACAGTTTTCATTTCTTTCCACTCCAACAGGAGTATTATTGCTCATAATATGATCTGGAGTATGGCCGAAGACTTCACACTGAATATCTTCTTTCTGTTCACAGAATCTCCCTACCACTTCATCTCTAGAAACAATGAGAAACACATTACTAAGCTATATTTTCAAATACATACCAGGAGGAGTAATGATTTTATGATCTAAAAGAGTTTCTGACCATGCACAATGGTTCCAGCAGGTATATATTTTCAAACCAGTGGCATGGTTATGGGTATCTAAAGATTCCAGCCCAGCATCATGCAAACTTTGGCTACCTACCTTACATTTAATGCGTTTGAGTATTGTACATGGAAAAGCTGTGAGCAAAATCATTTATATTTTGAAGAATTTGCATGATCCTAAGAAGCTACATTAAAGATTACAGGCACCACTACAAACACAGAATTCATTTTCTGCAAAGGCACCATATAGTCACACCCTGAAAGAAAGTTCATATAATCACATTTTTCACAATTTATTGAATGAAAGGTTTTGTACATAAAAACTGCAGATTATCACTGGGGCATCATGGTGGTACTACACATTTCTGATACTGGAACATTTTGGATTGGAATTTAATGGGGTTTTGTGTGTGTATGTGTGTGTGTGTGTGTATATGTGTGTGTAGGACTGGTGTTTGAACTGAAGGCCTCACAGTGGCTAGACAGGCACTGTACCACCTGCAACAGTCTGCCAGACCTTTAATGTGTTAGGGATTTTTGAGTTAGGGTTTCAAGAATTATTTGCCACAGGAAGGTTTCAAATTTCAAACATCCTGATCTATGCCTCCCAAGTACCTATGATTGCAGGAATGACACACCAGCAGGTTGCTTCATGGTGGTGCAACAACAAAAAAAAAAAACCTTGTTTTGTTTTTGGTTAAGGATAAAGTTTGAACGCAAGGCACACTGCTTGAAACGCAATTGCACACTGGCTGGGTTAGCAGTATACTGGTTCACTTGAGAAAGTCTACCAGCCCACAACATCCTTTTGTTTTTGACAAATTTAATTCTGGTTGTCAGAATGGTTCAAGCAGTACAGCACCTGTGTAGCAAGCTTTGATCCTGAGCACAAAGGAAAAAAATGCAATTTCTCCCTGACTCTTTTAATTCATCTTTTCTTATGCATTGCAGTTTGAACTTGGTGCTTCACACCTGCAACACATGCACTGTATCAATTGGGACACAAGTATAGTCCTCTTTGTTTAAGTGACACTTCTTCTTCCCTCTCATTTCTTTTTGAATATTTTTAGTGCTATATGGTATTTATATGTGTTATTTCACTGTGAGGTTTCCATATATATACATATATCCCAGGTTGTTTCATCCCATCTTTCATGGTTCTTCATGTCCCATTCCCAATCTTAAAGTAACTTCAATTGGTTTCACAGTTCCATATATGCATGTGCAGAAAGTACATCAGACATGGTGGGGGAGTGGCTAGCTCCTGTAATCCTAGCTACTAGGGAGAATGAGACTCAGAGGATCCAGGTTCAAGTTCCACCAGGGCATATATATCTCAAGACCCATGTCCAACAAACTCAGAGCAAAACACACTGGAGGTATGCTGCAAGTGTTAGAATGCTTGCCTTGCCAGTTCCAAGGGCAGAGTACAAAGCAAAACTCCTTCCCCTCAACCCTGCCAAAACAGACAAATCAACCGTACCCTTTTGACCCTCTTCATTTACCCTCTCCCCTCTCACTACTGACCACACCCCCTTCACATAACCTGTTTCACATTCGTTTCCTTCAGGGACTAAGTTGCTTTCTGTTGTGAATGCAAATTACCTTAGATTTCTTCTGGAATTTCTGTAAACCTCTTCAATGCTCTGATCTTCCTCTGTTTTGGATTTTTTTTTTTTAATAAAATAGAGACAGAAAAAGAAGACATTTTGAATAACATTAGTACAGAATAACTACTAGACTCTAAGTAGGCTTATGGTATAATGTGCCAACATATGGTTTCCACATCCCAAATTATTCTAAAGCATTGAAGAGCAACAAAAACTGGTTCTCTCATTGACTAAGAGAATGAAGTCATCCTTACCAACAGAGGCCAGGTTCCTGAAGGTTTCTACCATCACATCCCTGTACAGCTTTTGTTGTGAAGGATCCAGCAAAGACCACTCTTCCTGGGTGAACTTGACACAGACGTCATCAAAGGTCACAGGTGCCTAAAACATGACAAGTGTATTTCAAGGAGGAAGGTCAGACTGACAGTACTGAAGATACAGACTTCGAGTGTTCACATAATGCTGGGTTCTCAAAGTGTTCATTCCATGTCCTGGGTATTAAACATTTGCTCTGTACGCAAACCCACACTCTTTCACACAGCACTTTTAATACTAGCCTGAAAATACCTGTGAAAACAAAGCAGTAGCAGAACAAACTGAATACTCCTGAACCACCCAATTTCTTATTAAAGAGTGGGTCTATAATTTCTGTCATAATGCTGAACTGCAATTTAGCTTCCACAAGACAATTAACATCACTAGGGCTGGTAAGCATGCCCTGATTCAAGTCACACTCCCACAAGGAAAAACAAAAGAAAAAACAAAGCAAACAAAAATCACTTGTCCTGAGACTATGTATTCTTAGAAATGTTTGAACACAAAGTTCAACTGTGCTTGGAACTTTGGTGGCATTCACCTCATCAACTAAAATGAAAGAGGAACTGACTGTTTCCAAACAGAATCCATGATCAACATGCAATTTATTTTTCCAGTACTGGAGTTTGAATTCAGACCCTATACCTTGAGCCAATCCACCAGTCATTTTTTGTGAAGGATTTTCCATGATAGGGTCTCATGAACTACTTGACAAGCTGACTTTGAATCACGTTTCCCCTAATCTCAGCCTTTTTTTGGTGGTATCAGGATTTGGATACAGGTCTTCTTCCTTGCAAAATAGCCTCTCTACCACTTGACTCATATCTCCAGTCCATTTAGCTCTGCTAACATTGCAGATGGGGGTCTCTTAAACTATTTGCCTGGCTGCTTGAAAGCAGAAGCCTCCCAATATCAAACACCTATGTAACCAGAATTAAAGGGATGGGCCATTGTTTCCAGCAGCCTATCTTGTCAAACACTGTAACTCTCCCTATCTTCAATCCAACCCAGGCTCTCTTATGTTGTTCAATTTAAATTATTTTTTGAAACTGTCTTACGGAATTCACTCATGTTGTGGGTGGAGGAAAATGATTTGATTCTCTTTTCCCTATCTGTCACACACTACATGTTGGAGAACACACCTGGAACATTCTAAACTGACTGTCACCTTTGTAAATTCCAGGAGTCTCAACACAACACTTAGAAATCCACAGTTCAAAGAGAATGTGAAAATTAAAGCTAGCCTCAGTGCAAGAGGGAATATCATTTTTTGAGGAGTAACAACTTATAAAACTACAGGTTTTGTGTACTATTCAGAATTTCTTTCTTATGAATGAAGACTTCAAGAAAGCAATAAAGCTAACTGAAGTGGGAGTAAGGACACTTGCTGAGGAAGGGACATTTAAACTGAGTGCGAAAATAATATATTAATTTACATAGGAAGGAGATAGGATACAGAACACATGGCAGAATGAGTATGTTGAATTTATTCACCCAAGTGAAAAATTTCACGGCCAACCCCTCTCCCATGCGGGTATTTCAAGACTCAGGAGTCTACTGAAGGGTTGTCATTTTCAGAAAAAGGATTGGATAGTAAGTTGTACTTAATTTTATTCAGTTTCAAGCTAGCACAGAACCAATGACAGAATGCTGCACTTCCTTTGCAAAAACCAACTGCATGAGTTTGAGAAACCACTTGGATGCAGAGGGTAGGTTTCAGGGTGAGCCAAAGACTCCGTTTGGCAGATACTGTGCAGTTCTCCATAAATGTGACTTTTTCATGGGGGGCATTCTTGTTGCATTCCCTCCACTGTACCCTGGTGCCTGTCCTCCATCTGATGTGATTTTCAAGGAACTGAAGGTAATAGTCATGACTTTTACATTCACTTTTCTTTTCCCGCTTCTGCTAGTCAGACAATGAATACTAGTTCATTTAACCATACAAAAGAATGGAGAAAATGAGAACATCAATATGAACACACAGAGAAAGGGTCCCTAAATTTCATTTCCCACTGTTTTACTGCACAAAAATATTCCACTCAATGAACAACATAAAAAGCAAGCCAGTAGATGGGTGTAGGTGGCTACTACCTGTAATCCAGTAAAGCAGGTAATTCAATAGGGAAAGGAAGAAGATACTATGATAGGAAGGGACCAGGGACAATGTGTATGTTTTTCAACCTATGCCCCAAGTAGGCACTAACTTCCACAGTTCAAGCACCTCCAAGTAGACTATATTAAAAATTAATCCATCAATGGATTTGGGCCAGCCAAAATTTCTCATGTTCTTTTTTTGTGTTTGTGTGGTGTTGGAGAATGGATCCAGGGTGTTGTGCTTGCTAAGCAAATACTCAACAATTAAACCACACATTCCTAGCCTGTCAAGTGCTTTTGTTGTTGTTCTTGTTTCTCTTTTTAAACATGTTACTGTTCCAAATCACAACTTGGCGTATCAACATAAAATATAAGAAAGAATATGTGAATGAAGCCCATAAAAAACTTCATTCCAGGCACTCATCCCAGCATATGGGAGGCAAAAGGACTGTGAGTTCACTCCTATCCTGGGCTACATAGGGTGACTCTACCTCAAAAAAGAAAATAATCAGGAGTCTTGCTTCATTTCCTGGATAGGGACAGGAAATATTTATTTCTTTCACTAGCTAAAACCCTTGTCTATACTTCACCCTGTCATACTAAAATAAATAAAAACGCCAACAACATTAAGAACAAAAGAAAGCCATGCACAGCAGGTGCAGAGAATGTATTTGGTCTATTTGAATCATAGACCCAAATGGAAAACCTAGACTTCATAGTCTCAAAGAATATGGGAAATTATTTTACCTTGGTTACAAAAAGGAATTCAGGTATGACCGAAATGCTTCAATGATTTAGATCCCACAGGTTGCTTGCTCTGGTGAACCATGCCTGCTTTCCTACCTCACAGGAACAGAGATCAGGAGGAAATATGTCGAGAGACCCTACCTCAAAAATACGCAACACAGAACTGGTAGAATAGCTCACTTGGAAAGAGTGGCTGCCTAGCAAGCAGGAGCTCTTGAGTTCAAAACCCAGGGCTCCATTGCTATGTCACATATCAGACAGCCTCAAGGCAGAAGGCACAGCAGAACCTCTCAGCCTGGTATGCCTAGGAAGTGCTGCTTGCTGGAGGTGACTGTTACCTGAGTGATCGAAACACATTCGGCTTGCCAAAGAGCTAAACATGCCTTTGGTTAGAGATTTTTACAATTTTCCTTGTAAGAGAAAAGAAAAAACATTAAAAAAATCACTATTTCAATGTGCAAACTCATATATTATGGATGTAAAATGTCCAGGTGTCTACAAGATTACCATCTGCAAACAGTGCTTCTTTGAGCACGATGTTAAACAGTGCAGTGTCAACCTGCAGGAGAAGCCAGGTTCCTGGAAGGTTGCTCTTTTGGAAGAAAGCAACACTACTGATCTATAAACCTTCTGAAATTTCTATTTTCTCACACAAACTCTTACAATTTAATGACTCCGCAAGATAATGCATCTATATTTCTGAGGCATAAAAAATGACCTCCTATTTTCTGTTAGCTTTTCAATAACTTTTTGATTCTGGGGAAATAAAGGAAAGTAATCTTGAATACAAGACTTAGGAGAAATGCACACATAATGTTCAGAGGACTGAAAACTACAATTTGGCTGGGTACGCAGGTTGCTCGTGTGTGTAATACCAGTGACTCATGAGTCACTCATCGGGAGGGGAGCAGTTTGAAGCTAGACCTGAACAAATAATTCATGAGACATTATCTGAAAAATCCCATCACAGAAATGGACTGGGACAGTGTCTCAAGAAGTGAGAGCATCTGCCTAGCAAGCATGCGGACCTGAGTTGAAAACAACTACAAAAATCCAAACAGAAACAACAAACCAGAAAAAAATTTAAAAACACTTTAACTGGACAGGAAGACAGACATCAGGAGGATCAGGGTGAGAAGCCAAACCAGGGAAACAGTTTGCACAACAGTATCTCAAAAATCCCACAAAAAACACTTGATGTAGTTTCTGAAGGATTACAGGGCCTGATAGGAAGTATCACGCCTTGACTTTAAGCCGCAATTCCACAGGGAAAAAAAAAAAACAATTACTTCTCAGTGAGGTGAGTGCATCCCTGTGAATAAAAAGGGAGACAGGCAGCAGATGTTTGTACTTTTGTTCTTGTAGTCTTTCTCAATGAAAAACAAGACAGGACACAGGAAGGATAACTAATATGCACATACATCAAAACTGTACCTTTTATTTGGGAATGTCAACAGGTAGAAGGAAAGGGATGGCCGTATCCTTAGAAAGAGCACACCATCACAAGATTTATGGGCTACAGAGACACATAACATACAATTTCAGTCTGGAGTCAGTGACTCATGCCTGTATTCCTAGCTACTCAGGAAAGCAGAGATCAGGAGGCTTTTGGCTGGAAGCAAACCGGGCACAGTTCTCAAACCTCAATCTGGAAAAAAGTCATCAGGAAAAATGGGCTGCAAAAGAAGAGATCCTGCCTAGGAAACCTTGAGGCCTTGAGTTCAAAAGCTGGTATCAAGAACAAAACATTCTATAGTTGCCAATCACAGGTTTAAAACAGTCCAAAAAATCTAAAATTTTCTAGTTATATCAAATTCCTAAAACAATGAAGAGCTTTGGACTAAGAAAGCTACAGATGATTCCAAGATGGCTGCTAGAGGAGGAAACAGAAAGTGAGCCTCCTATAGTGAAATCTTGGAGAGACGCTGGAGACACACTTTGCAGGCATAATCACTGAGAAGAGGCATAACTTTGACCCCTCCACACCTCCAGCCGGCACAGAGAATCTCCACTTCACATTAAACGGAGAAACCAGGAGGGCCCCCGGACCGCCAATCACCCGTGCCCAGATGGCTTGGGAAGACGCGGACCAGGTGAGATTCACGGTACTGCGGTACTCCCACAGACAAGCTGGGCCAGAGCAGCAAAGCCCCTGGACAGACTGACCTCCACCTGGGAAAAAAGAGAAACTGACTAATAAGCAATAAGAACAATACAGACACGCAGGAAAGAGGATGGGGCACACTGAGCGCTAAAGATTGGGGGAAGGGAATCCTTCCCAGGACTGTAAACAAGCTGGGCGGGCTGGAGAGGCTCTGGCGGGAGCAGGGGCGCGCGCCCAGCAACCAGGAGCAGGAAAGCTTGTGAGAGTGGCGGAGGGAGGAAAACTCCACAGGAGAGGAGGGAAGACCCAATTCCCACATGAACTGTAAACAAACATGGTGGCTGGCAGGAG